TTGATAAAATATCATCCATTACCCATGATAATGGGTCAAATATTATTTCGGCTGGGAAAATGATTATTCCTTTAATTCGCGAAACCTATAACGCCAATTTCAGCACAATACGATGTCTTGCCCATATTATAAATCTGATTGTACAAGAAGGACTATCAACGATCTCAACAGAATTGGAAAAGGTTGAGTCATTGGTGAAAAGGATCCATAAAAGTCCTTCTCTGATACAGGAATTTGTTAAAATTTGTGATTGTAAAATTCCGCTCGATGTATCAACAAGATGGAATTCTAAATATCTCATGCTTAATAAAATCAATCAGAATATTTATACTATAATATCAAAGATTTTAGTTGAGCATAGTGTTCTTGTTTCAGTCTGTTGTTTTTTTATGAATATTGGAGAACATGAGTGATTTAATAATATTTGACTTTAAATTTGTACTAAAATAGTTTTTGATATTTATATTTAGAATTTTGAACACTTAAGAAAAATTGCACATTAAAATTTATACTGGGATTAACTTTGAACTAATGTTGTTAAAATAGAGCGCTATACTTATTTTCAGGCGTTAATTCCATAAAGTTGTGTTAAATGGCGCGATTTGAGCAAATTTTTAAAGCGGTTAATTCACTATTTTATTGAAAAGAATATTACGAGAGCCATTTTTCTCATAATTGGTATAAAGGTCTAGACATCATTTATCGTAATCTGAGGATTAGTCATTATTTTTCTGTCTAAATTATTGACCTAAAATAGGCTTAAAACGAGCTATTTTACATATAAAATACACATACAAATTATTAAGATATATTTATAAATAATTCTAAAATCTTAATCATTTAAATTAATATTAAGAATCTACATAATCTAGTTACTAAAATAATTTAAAATATCAACGATAGAGATATATATTGAAGATACATTTGGTATAGATAATATATACAAAGTTATTTCCCTGTTACAATGATATGTAATTCCTTCCTGATATCGCATAAATTTAGTCTCGATAAAAAAATCATAAGGTATTTCATTGTGAGAAGAAATATTTTAATTATAACATTAATGTGTAGTCCTATACTTAATCTTTAAAATAAAATATGAATCAAACAGATGAATTTATGTGATAGTTAATTTTATGACTAAGTCTCTGACCATAATTATATTTTAAATAAAAAATACAGTAAATATAATTTTATCATCTATTTTAAAAATTATTATGTGGATGTTTGTTCACCCAAGTTTCAAGCTAAATGACCATATATTAATTAGAGTGAATCTAATACCTCACCAGGATACCTTAGCTATCTAGTATAGAAGATTCTTTTAGAAAAAAATGTACTACTGAAAATACTCTTAGTGATTTTTCTATAAAAATTTTATTATATTAAATTAAAAAAGAAAGTTTATTTATTCGGATTATACTTTCTCATCGCTAAAGTTGGGGATGACACTATATTATTATTAAGATATAATAAAAAAATATTAATTTAATATTTTAATCATATTTATTTTATTTGTGGAAATAGAGATATTAAAAAAAAATTTCGAAGTATTGTAAAAAGTGGTTAATAAGACGCTACTTTATTGAAAAAATAGCGGGCACTCTTATAAAAACAGGCTTTGAAATACTTATTATAAATAAAATCAGTTTTCCAAAAATAAATAAGTATTTATATGAGATAGTTTGCGACCATGAATCTTTTTCTCGGGTTCTTCTATACTAAAATATTAATATAACATGTTTTACAAATAAGATTTTTACTATTTGATTAAATAGAGTTTAAAAATAATTATGACTTTTATCACTTTTCTATTGCTTTTATCGAAATTTTAATTAACTAGCTTATAATTTATATTTTAACCATTTTCTTCAAAATATCCCAAATAAATTATCGACTATTCTAATTTTTTCAAGGTTTTTCATCACTGAAAAATTGATTTAACATGTTTACAGTCTATATTTTTATCTATCTGCTTCAATTAAATTGAAAAAAGTTCAAAAATGACCAATTGTCACTTTCCTATGGTACATCTTCACTGAAATTTTAATTTAACATGTTTACAAAATATATTTTTACCCATTTGTCTAAAAAAAATTCAAAAATGACGATTATGACAATTGTCACTTTCCTATGGTACATCTTCACTGAAATTTAAATTTAACATGTTTACAATATATTTTTACACATTTGCCTTAAAAAAAGTTCAAAAATGACGATTATGACAATTGTCACTTTTCTATGGTACATCCTCAATGAAATTTAAATTTAACATGTTTACAAAATATATTTTTACCCATTTGCCTTAAAAAAAATTGTAAAAAGTTCAAAAATGACGATTATGACAATTGTCACTTTCTTATGGTACATCTTCACGGAAATTTAAATTTAACATGTTTACAAAATATATTTTTACCCATTTGCCTAAAAAAGATTCAAAAATGACGATTATGACAATTGTCACTTTCCTATGGTACATCTTCACTGAAATTTAAATTTAACATGTTTACAAAATATATTTTTACCCATTTGTCTAAAAAAAATTCAAAAAAGTTCAAAAATGACGATATGGTACATGGGTCATTCCACGTCAAATCGACCAAAAAAACGCGATTTTCGGACGAATACCTTTAAAATAAACGGAACTTGACATGATAGTTATTTATTTTGTATATTTTTGTAAATTCTAAATTTTAGAGTGCTAGCTCAACCAAATCCAAAGATATACGCCTTCAAAGTAGAGAATCGCATACTGCGTGATTTCTTAAATCTTGTTTTTCTTAAAAAATACTTAAGATAAAATTACAAATAATAAATATATCATTTTATAGCCCTTAAAATTTTACATTGGAAAATATTTAAAAAAAATTAAAAAATTTTAAGTGTTTTTGTATTTCCGGTAAAAATAAAAAATTAACATTCCTGGGAAGGGATATTTTTTGGTGTTGATACTCTCTAAAAATGTTTATTACCTTTATATTAAACTATTTAATGAAAAATCTCGATAGCCATTTTTGTTTTTTAATTTTATTAAAATTTTTATTATTTTTATAAATAAAAAAGGATAATATAGATGGCGTTATATTAATTTTAATAATAATATATTTAATTTAATAAAAATATGTTTTTTATCGGTATTAAAATCAAAAAAAAATCGATTAAATATAACCAGTATGATGTCTTGATGCAATAAATAAGGAAGCGGCCCATACGGATATGGTTATTAGGACGCTATATTTTAAAATAAACATATAAAATTTCATATACAAACAATTATAAAATAAAATACCTCTTGTTTTAATCTTATCCCATTTTGCACTTATTAATACTATTTCTTGAAGCGTTTATAGGTACGTCCTGTCACTGTTATAGGATCTACTATCGTTATTATTTGATTCATGGGCAACCATATCGTTTCATCAATTGTGAGATAAAAGAAGGATGGTGATGGTCCATGGGGATGTAAAAAGGAAATATATATCTCCTCAGTATTTTCATTCTTTTTCAGTACTGTGGCTGACCACCAAAAATCGTCATAAACACATGTTACGAATCCTTTAATATCAGCAAAACACAAATTATCGGCAAAAGACAAATCGGCATTTGAGATATTATTAATTTGAAAGTCCTTTGCATATGAATATATTTTTGATTTAAGTTTACTTAAACTCAAAGGAAAAACAGCATGTATTTCCCGAGTTCCTGGAATGGGACGAGCTAAATTGAATCTTTCTCGTAGTTTAATCTCTTCTAAATTGTATTGTTCGTTGGTTATATACATAAAATTTACTGATGGCATATTTTGTTTTTGCTATAAATAGATATAATTTTATAATAGCTTGAATATAATTTTAAAGTATCTTTATATGGCCCGCTGCTCATTTATTGCCCCAGGACATCATACTGGTTATACTTAATTGATTTCTTTTGATTTTAATACCGATATAAAATATATTATTATTAAATATAATATATTATTAATAAATTTAGTATAACGCCATCTGTATTATCCTTTTTTATTTACAAAAATAATAAAAATTTTAATAAAATTAAAAAAACAAAAATGGCTATCGAGATTTTTCATTAAATAGTTTAATATAAAGGTAATAAACAGAGTATCAACACCAAAAAAAAATCCCTTCCCAGGAATGTTAATTTTTTATTTTTTACCGGAAATACAAAAACACTTAAAATTTTTAAACTTTTTTTCAATATTTTAAGGGCTATAAAGTGATATATTATTTGTAATTCTATCTTAAGTATTTTTTAAGAAAAACAAGATATAAGAAATCACGCATTACGCGATTCTCTACTTTGAAGGCGTATATCTTTGGATCTGGTTGAGCTGGGGCTCTAAAATTTGGATTTTAATAACATTTACAACATAAATAACTAACATGCCAAGTTTCATTCATTTTTGAGATGGTCGGCCGAATCACAGGTCGATTTGTCATGGAATTACCCACATCTTCACTGAAATTTTAATTTAACATGTTTGCAAAATATATTTTTACATATTTGCCTTAAACAATAAACTTCAAGTCTGAGTCGAAAAAAACGACCCAAACTTCAAGTCTGAGTCGAAAAAAACGACCCATATTTTGCGTCGAGGTCGTTTTTTTAGGCTTGGACTCTGGTCAAGGTCGAAAAAACCACCCTAACTTTGGGTCGGGATCGCGACTCGCGCCGTTTTAACAACACTAATTATAGCCTCGTAGCGCCTAGAAAAATAACATTTTTTTCTGAGCAATAATCTTAAATTTTTATCATTTAAAGGAAAGGATTCAAATCGAGATCGTAAAAAGGGGAATTACTTTCTTTTTATATCTTTTAAATCATAATTTTTTAATATATTTTTACTATTAGATATAATTATTTTTTAATTTTAATAAGGATTTTAAAAATAAAGTTTTTTTTAAACCAAAATAAAAGTTTTTTTTTCACACCCTAATATAATTATTTTAGGTTAATGACATTTTATTTGTTAAAAAAAATTACAGCTTTGTGCGCTCGACAACCATGGACAAATGGAAAGACGTGGAACTTGAAAAGATGAAAGTTGGCGGGAATCAAAAGTTTAGGGAGTTTTTAGAGGGTCAACCCGATTACAAAGGAAGTTCTATGAATTTACAAGAAAAATACAATTCCAATGCTGCCACTCTTTATAGAGATAAAGTTATATATTTTTTATCATCATGTTTATGAACTAGTTGAGGTGTGTACATATTTATTTGTTGGTAGTCCATTAATCCTTTACATTGCTGTTAAATGGCTTGATTTAAAAAAATGGCTAACACTATTTTTTAACCAAAAATATTATACAAGTCTAGAAATTTTGCTTATATAGTTGGCACAACGGTTTGGACATCTAACGAAATCACGAGACTTGCGATACTATTTTGACTACAATTTTAATTTAAATTGGTTAATCGAGCCAATTACCAACATTGATCCTTTATATCATGGCGTTTTGGGGGAAAGAAATATGCTCCATAAATCACAAGATTTTATATGTAATGATTTAGTAAGTGATTTTGGTTTGTGGTATCATTTATATATTTTTAATATAAGAAATAAAAATGTTACGGACGTTATTCACTTACTAATAACTATTTTTACAAATTAGATCTTTGAAAAAAAGTGATACGGATGTTTAGGGATGTACCGATATTTTATATCGGATCGGGCCGATATTTCGCCCATTTTAAAATATCGGTTATCGGCAAATATTATAAAATTTTCCGATCCGATATAAAATGGCGCTTTTAACAAAATTTAAAAAAAGTTATATCTAAAAATCCATTTATTTTTATAAATAAAATCGGAATATATTTTTATGCTTAATTATTTTAATAGTAATAATTAGTTAATAAACATTCTGCAATATAGTTATTTTTTTTCGCAATCTGTTTAAAAAAGTGTTCATTAATCTCTTCAGAATCTGTTTTTAGTGATACTGATATTAACAGTCCCCATCACCGCAGACCGATCTCTGATAAATTGGAAATTTTGGTATTTCTAAAAAGAAATCTTCGATAAATTAATTTTATATATTAATTTCAAATTTCAATATATTTGTTTATTACTAATTATGTAAATAGATTAATGTTATTACTTATTATATAAATAATTGCAATTGAATTGAATATAAACTATAACTGATCATTATAATATATTTAAATGACATATGTTATGGTATAGTAAAATTATAGATGTTGTACTAATAAAAAGAATATTAAAAATTAAAACCGGTATCTTTACAGAATACAAAATTAGATATGATATCGGATCGGTTATCGGCCGATATCAATTAAATATCTGGAATATCGGATCGGATCGACCTCCAAAAAGTGGTATTGGTACACCCCTACGGATGTTGTTCTACTACTAGGTCATTAATAATTTTATTTTTTTGTGGGTAGGCCTTCACATTACTATGCTCAGAACGGACTTGAAGTTTCGGGAATCTTGTAAGTGATATCTTTACTTTTTTTCAATTTAATAGGAAGTTGGGGAAACGTTTATTTTCCTTAGTTGAAATTGTAAAATTGCTGGTATTGGTGCAGGATGGCTGGACCGACTGAATATATGATAGAAAATAAATTTTCATCGACCAATGTTTACTTCGTACATTAACAAGTCTTAACGTTTTGAGACTCATGATATAAAATACCTCGGAGTCAGGACAGGACTAATAAATCTTGAAAGGCCATCGTAATAAAAGCATACAAAAAAAATAAAATTTGTAAATAGTATAAAAATTAACAATCAATCAAGAAATAAAATATCCTCACGCCTTTCATCATTTTTTTTAAATAAACGAACTTCGTTCACGAACGCATTTGTTTATAACATTAATTATTTTTAATAAAAAATAAAATCGTAACTATTTTATCCAACGCATATATTGGGGAAATTTTACACCCAATAGAAAACTGTACAGAACCGGTAGTATCGTAAAAATTTCTACCAGAAATTCCTTACTTTAAATTTGTTGATAAACCTATTAAATTTAAGAGATCTGAAAAATCAAATTCAATATATTTTATTTTTAAAAAAAATTGATTAGTTCATACTAATAAATACGCCCATAATGTGATCTTCACTTGAATTATACAAATAAAATGTATATTTTTAAATTTTTGAATTTTACATTTTTTTTTGGAGTAGAAACTACATTTACAGATGTAAAAAAACGGCAAAATGAAAAGGATGCTTAAAAATTATTATAACGATATAAAATAATTATTTTTATCATTTTTTAAAAAAAATGAGCGAGTTATAAAATGATAAAAGAAAATTCAAAAAAATATTGGTAGATTATATTTAAGATGACTATATAAAAAAAAAATTTCATACCTAAAATGGTAGTTACACATGAAAACTTTATTTTTATAGCACTTCAAAATTATATTTAAAAAAAAGTAGTCACGTTTTGTACAACGTAGCTATCGAAATATTCGATTTTTGGGTATAAACCCTGTACCGCTGTGATATAATGGGTGAAATAATTCAAGGTATTGATTCATCTTGCATCCATTAATAATGATTACTTAATGGGCATATTTTATACTATTATTTTAATAGCTGTTTTAATTTGCTACTTGCCATTTTCCGAGAACATCTGTATACTATTATTTTTTCCCCTCTAATCTTTATAAATACTGAAGATAAATTATTTGGCACGAGGAAATGATGAATGGGACGTGAATGAAGCTAAGCAACGAATCCAAGCTTCCAAAAAATCCAATAAAGAAACTACCTTTAATAATATTTCATCTTTTTCCAATTCATCATACACCAATGATTCCTTTAATAATAACTGTCAAGGCGATAACTTTAAATCCAACCAAAGGTTACAAAGACAAGATTAAATTTATAAAGGATTATGCATTTTGATTTGAAATATTATTTACAATTTTACAACTTGGCAAACTTTCTCTTTTTTATAGCTTCAAAAACAATAATCAATCTTACGGGGGTTTTGGCTCCAATTCCTATGGTAGCAATGACTCTAATTTTACTCAGAATAACTCCTCGAGGTAATTGTTTATGTTATACTTTAATTAATACAATATTATCAAAACGAATAGAAATTCTGCCTTTTTACGGGAAAACAATTCGTCCTTGGTGGATGGTGCTATGTCAAGCATAAACACGGTATTATCTATTATTCATTTATTACTAAAATAATACAAGATATAAAATAAGAATCGCATTTATCTCTCGTTGATATAAAGTTCTACGAGATAATCCTACGCCATTTTTTTCTTATCACCGATACTTATATAAAATATTTACTAAAAACATAAAAATTATTTTTACCACTTAGTGTTATTGAACGGCGGATTTGAGCCTATGAACGGCTGACTCAATATTTTATCCAGACAAATATTACCCAAGCCTAAAGATTTTGGATATAGAAAGGTTGGACATCTATTAGCTAAATTTTGAGTAGGCAATATTTTTTTGGCTAAAATATCAGTAAGCCATTTTTTAAAATCGCCTCAAATCGAGTCGTTTAACAACACTGAAGTACTGTGCTAATATGATTGGGTTTTTTTCTTATATTTTGATATTGATAAAGTATATTAAATAAATTTTTTAAACTTATTTTAATATATTTTGGCAAAAGAATGGATAATAAATGATTCCCAATGTTGAAAAAAATCATTATTATTTTGAGATTTTTTTTTTTCGGATTGTAATTAATTTTTTTTTAAGGAAAGCCACCAACCAGGTTATAAAATTTTACCTTTTTCAGAAGAAAACCAACAGGTAATAATGGAATTTTTAAATGAAATGTAATAGGCCTGAAAATACAGGGAAACACAGGTTAGGCAACTTCTATAAAATAAAAAGGGCCTTATAAAATTAACAATTTTTGCTATAAATGAAATTATAAAAATAATTTGTAATAAAATATCACTTTTTAATACGCAAAATTGTATCTAAAATTTAGTTAACCAAATATTCCATAAATATAATTGTCGCTGTTACCATAAATATGGCGGCAACTCTAGATTAAATCGTATGGAGCCCCCCCCCCCATCTTTTTATATTTGAAAAATCTCCCTAAAATGGTTTAGAATATATTTTCAGTTATTATGTTAGCAAATGGTTTATTCAGTATATTCATCCATTTTGATTAATTACTACCTAGTATTTATTTTATTTTTTTCTCTTCTCTATCTAGGGCTGGTCCTTGCTAAGCAACAACGCCTCGAAAATCTTGGCCTACTCTTCCGATAAGGTTGTAAAAATTGGCTCTCAAACCGGTCAAAAAGCTTTTCAATTAGGCACAAATTTGAACGAAATTTTGTCTTCAAAGGATAAGATGAATGAAACTTTAACTGCCCATACTAATAAATTCCTAGACCTTACATCCAAAGTTATATTTATAGAAGAAGAAAAAATTAGCATGAGATATTTATAAGATACAAATAATGCATTCTATGACAATTAAAAAAGACAATATTTTCAGATAAAAATTTTTTAATGAAAGTTTTGAGATTTCGTGGTATTATAGAATCACAATTAATAATAAAATTTAACTTTATTTAATATATAAAAAAAACAATCGGGATTATAATTTTTCCTCTCTTTTTATATCATTTTCTCTTTACATTATTGACCATAATCATAAATTAATCATTTTCAAATTATAATAAAAATTTTAACTATATGTCTGATTTTCTTGTATTTAAATTTTTCTTTACTAAAACGCAACTATTTAAAATTAAAACTATTTGTAATAATAAAAATATTTTAATAACCAAATATCCGACTAAAAAAGATAATTTGCTTTATAAAAAAAACTTTTGCGTCATAAATTTCGACATTACCTCTATTGTATTGCCGTTGATATATATTGGTATTATTACCAATAAAACTTTATAAAAATCATCATTTTTTTTATTAAAAAAGGGAAAACAAAATGTTAAAATAAAAGGGTTAGCCAATGAGTTGGGAAATATATTATAAAATTCTTTAAAATTTTTTTTACATTGGAACATATATAATGTTAACAATTTCATAAATAATTTTTTTTTACTAACTCGTCCTCGATTTTTATCTTTTATAATTAGGGGTGTACCGATATTACTTTTTAGAGGCCGATCCGATATTTTCAATATTATATTGATATCGGCCGATTATTGATCCGATATCATATCTAATTTTGTATTCTATAAAGATACCAATGGGTTTAATTTTTAATATACTTTTTATTAGTATCTATAATTTAACTATACCATAATTAAATATATTATAATGATCAGTTATAGTTTATATTCAATTCAATTGCAATTTTAAAAGTATATAAAATATTTTTATTGTTAAATCACTTTTATATAATAAGTAATATATTTATCTATATACATATAAATAATAAACAAATATATATGAATTATTTAACATCAATATATCCAAGATTTCTTTTTAAAAATTTCCAATTTATCAGAGGTCAGCCTGCGGTGACGGTAACTGTCAATATCACCAGCTTCACTAAAAACTGATTCTGAAGAGATTATCGCACACTTTTATAAACAGAATGCGCAAAAAAAAATAACAATATGGCATAATGTTTATTAATTAATTATTATTATTAAAAAAAATATACATAAATAGGATTTCGATTTTATTTATAAAAATAAATGATTTTAGATATAACTTTTTTATAACATTTTGTTTTTGTTAAATACGCCATTTTATATCGGATCGGATCGAAAAATTTATAATATTGGCCGATAACCAATATTTTAAAATGGGTGAAATATCGACCCGATCCGATAAAAAATATCGGTACATCCTTATTTATAATTATTGAAAGAGGGGACGATTTTTAGATGTGGAAAAAAATGCCTTTCGCAATTAAGAATAATTTTTATTTATAAATTGTTTAGAATAATTCGATAGAATAATAGATAAAAAAATTGTTCAACTCATAATATTTTTCCTTATTCATTGAATCGAAAAATTTTGTCATTCGTAAAATACGAATAATTCGTTTTAGGATTAGATAACTAAAAACATTATATATTAAGTATGTGTTTAATTTTTTTTTATTAGCGGAATAATGACATAAAAGGATTTTTTATTAAACTTTAAAAACTCACGAGTTTGTTTAAAATATTATTTTTAAAATAATAAATACAAAAAAATTTGCCTACGATTCAATGACTTACCAATCTTTATTGTAATTTCCACGACACAAAAAACATAAAAATAATCTTGTTTTTTGTATTTTTCGCGATAAATATTAATGTATTAATAATTAAATTCCAATAATAAATCATTATTTATTACATAATCTAAATCGAAATATAGCGCTAATAATGACTACGAAAAAATTATATATATATAATATATATACTAATCTGTAACAGGGATGAATATTCTGATAAAAAAATCTATTTAAATATCGGTATCGAGGTCGTTTGGGTTAAATATTAGAGAGGCGAAAAAACGAAACATCCATCTGTGACATCATTATTTTCGATTTTTATATTATATCAAACAGGCAACCAACCTAGCTAAATCAGGATTAAACGAAGCTTCTCAATACCTAACCACTAAATATCGCGATTTAAATCATCCTTCTTACCAAGACGTCGATTTTGACAATTACGACACGGCCAACTCGTTTGACGATAACGAAATTGATTCTAATCATGCTTTTAATCACACCAATAACGATTTTAGGACTAACGTAAAAAGCGAATTGAGTAATAATGGTGGTAGCAGTAATAATAAAGCAAAAAATTCTTATGGTGGAATAGATAATAGGTTTAATATGATGTAATCTTATTTAGTTTTAAGTGATTTTTGTTTAAAATGCGATTTTTTAATCGAGTTGTAAAAAAATATATTTAATATTAAAAAATTGCTACAGAAGTAATAATATAATTCTGGTAGGGGGTTCTCAGTGTTTGCCTCTTTATTAAAATTCTTTTTGATGATGTAGGAAATAAAGAGATTTCGAAGAAGGGGAGGGTAAATCCTGACATCTTACATCAAAATGTTTTCTCTTTTTGGTGAAATCATATAACGAATGTTGTTTAAAAAGTCATTAATTGATTTTTTATTCCCAGAAACATTTATTTGAGAAATTTTTACTTGTAGAGCCCTAATTTAGCCTGCCCCCATTTTTTATGTTAAAAAATATTTTGATTAATCTTTATAATTAACCCTCTATTTCGCGACATATCAATTAATGATATAATTATTTTTTTAAAAACTTATTTTTATCTAATTAGCCCTTCATAAACTAAAGAAAATTTAAACCGTAAAAAAATTGCAGTATGTATATTTAAATGCACAATGCGTGTAAAAAGTTTTTTCAATTTCAAACCTATTACAAAATAAAGACATATAATTTTATTATTTGATAAATAATATAGTAAAACAAATTTATTTTAATTTTGAAATAATTTCATGATACACCACTACAAATCACTTTCGTAACCAATTTACACCCAGGGTTTTTGCATCTCGTATTTTTACTATATTTTTGCCAATAAGCTATTAAATCATGTTTTATTTCTCTGCGGAATAAGACTTGTCGGTTGCAACATTTTTCTCAATATTTGACATCGCCTCCCATATTTTTATTGTAAAACTTTTATAGCTGCTGGACACTGAATTTTAATTTTCCATCGTTCCTTTCTACGAAACTGTTCAAATCTCCAACTAGGTAACTACATGTATATGTACTTAGAATAATTACAAACCTATTATCATGCCATTAAGTTATCAGTAAAAGAACACATGCCATTATTAACTTTTAAAATTTCAATAACAGAGGTGCTCTGTTAGTGTAATAAAAATATGAACTCTGGCCTAAAAAACGAGTATCATGCCAAATATAGAGAAAAATGTCGTAAGGGATCGGCAAGTCTTATTCCTCAGAGAGAAATAAGACATGATTTAATAGCTTATTGAACCCTGGATGTAAATTGGTTACCAATGTGATTTGTTTCTTAAGTACAATTTCTTAATTACCAAAAAACAAAAAATATAAATTAATATACGGTTTTTATTGAATCTACAATAGCAACATATCACAACGGTTATTGAATCTACAAGGATAATTTTCTTAATTCCAAAAAACAAAAAATATAAATTAATAATTATAAAAAAAAAAAAAAACTCTATTTTCCTCTTTTTTCAAGGTTTTTATAACCCAACATAATAATAATGACAAAATTATAATATTGACAACAAAAAATATTCAAAATGACTTGCTATAAAAACAAATATTTACAACAATTTGTACTAAATGTTGTTTCATTATGTTTTAGTTCAAAAAACGATTGTTTTAATCGTTTCATGAAAATTAATATAAATTTGTTTTATTATATTATTTATCAAAGATGGCTTGATTTGAGCAGATTTTTAAAAACGGTTAAATTAATATTTCGGCCAAAAAAATTATTGCCTAACCCTGGAACCAGATAGATGTCCAAACCTTTGTGCTATTTATTAGCAAAATCATCGGGCTCGCGTAATATTTTGTCCAAGCCGTTTTTAAAAATCGGCTCCAATCGAGCCATTTAACAACACTCTTTTCAATATGGTTTGAATAGAAAATTATAATATAAATATAAACAAATTTGTTGATAGATTTGAAATTTTTTTTAAAAAAAAAGTAAGGATTTTATAATAAAGTATACTAGAATATTTTTTTCATACACTTATATTATTCATTATTTTTGGTGAAGAATATATTGAGCATTCTATCTTTGATTTGCCTGACCATGATCGTAAAGTAATTTGATCGTAAATTCGTCCACTTTTCTGATTGGTTCTCTTAAATAATGTATTACTTGGAATTATTTGATATATTAAAAAACTGCATAAAAATTTGTATTGATTGCGTTTATCGTGTAAAAGCATTTTTGGAAAAAACTGGATGGTTTATATTACAAACTTTTAGGAGTGATTTGAAATGAATTGTGTCTTCGAGAGAAAAAAGTTGAAATTTTAGACAAATTAGATCTTATGATCCAGTCTAGATTGCTGGTTAAAAATTTGGATCTTTTTTCTCGTGGAGTAATAAAAAATGGTTACTATTGATTCTAAACTACCTCCAAAGTATTAAAAAATTATACATGGTCCAGAACTAATTTCCTTAATACTTATTACTGTGAAGTCAAAAAAATTGGAACTCTCGAACTAGTTTTTAAAATATTTTTACAAATGAGTTTTATGATAGATTGTATAAATTACTATAAAATATTATTTTTAGAATTTATTTTAAAAAATAATCATTTTTTGGATATTTTTTCTCATGCTACAATAATTTTTAATGTTAAAATTGTAAGCACTAAATTAAACAAGTTTACCCTGAATTAACAACGAACTTGTGGTGGCGAATATACGTATATATGAATGCAGGGTTATTCATGCTTTTTTTGTCTCATTCTTTTTGGTTGCTTAAGCACTATGTATATAATAAGCCGATGATTTTTTTAAATCTGGTTTAAAAATTCGCTAAAATAAAAAAAGAACTTTAAGATTTTATCAAATAGTATGTTAAAACTTTGCAGAATTATGTTTAGGACATGTATTTATTTTTAAATATAAAAGTATCTAATTTCTTTTTTTCTCACTAAATTTACGAAAGTTTCCGAATTTTATTTTTGATATTTATATTTCAGTTTATAATATTAATGAAAAATTTTCTTAAAAAAATAATCCATAGTGGCGTATTTATATTAACTTTAATAATTCTTACATTAATTTTAAGAACTGAAGATGATGATTTTTTTGGAGGATTTCAATCATTTCAAAATCCGGTTTCCACTACTAATGTCAATAACGCGCATAAAACGAATTCTAAGGCTAACAACTATAGTACTTCAGTTAAAAAAAATAACGATAATTGGGAAGCTTGGTGACAATACAGTCAGATGGTGTTTAACTTGATCAAATTTTAAAATCTTTGTCAAAATAAACCCTCTATTTATTTATATATATTTCCAATAATGATTTTGGTTGAGATATGAAGGCATATATTTACTTAATCTTTGAATTATAAACGTAAATCCTCTATGAAAAATTTTTAAATATTTAATTTATTAATTATTTTACATTATAATTTTATCAATGAACGTTTGTTTAAAATCTTACAAATCAATATGACATAAATTTTACGACGTTTTTTTAAAAAAAATGATTTTCCACGCATGAGGCTAATATATTAATGATAATAAAAATTGCATTGGTCAATTTGTCATTTTTATATTTGTTACATTTTTGAAAAAAAATCAGATTTCCAAATGTTTCCATATAAAAAATCGAGTCATTAAAATATAAGATCAATAAATATAGGTAGCATTTTCTTTTTTTTATGGTATATGATTTTTTTTGGTCACCAATAAAATGAATCATTGATAAAACTATAGGCCGATTTGAACCACCCAGAAGCTTTATTAGCCATGTCCGATGTTATATCACTCTTTTTACATATGTCTTGATTGTTCTTATTTGAAGGGGGACTTTTGGAGACAAGTTTATCGTTATCTAGGTAATCGTCGTCTGTTTGTAAAATAACCTAATTGTTTAAATTAGTAGATTTTGTCTTTGAAAAAAGTATTTTCAAAAATATTACCTTTTCCCCAAATTCATTTTTTACCAACAAATGAGCTTTTATTTCAGGTATATTATTAAGTTGCTTCAGCATAACCTTAAATCCAATTTATATTTTATCTAAATATACAATATGACATATATGGTAAACAAAAACTATCAGTTATCCTGCAATGGAGTTCATAAAGGCATGGTTAGCAATCAAAGTGAATATTTGATTAAGACTTAAACGTGGCCTCGGTAAGATAAAGGAAGAGTAATTTGTAGGATAAAAGACTGCTCCTTAGAATTAAAATTCAGAAATTATTATGAGGCTAGCACCAGTTATGTAAAGATCTGAATGTTCGGTTATTGAAGTAGAATGAGGAAAAGGAGATGGTTGTGACTGACTTGGAAAACCAAAAAAAAGAAGTAAGTTGTTTTAGTTTAAAATAATCTTTTTTCTTATGTAATTTTTACTAGGGATATGTCAATATTAAATATTGGATGAACCAATATTATCATTATTTGGGGTTATTTTATATTGAATATTTTTATGTAGTATTTTTTATTTAATACATAATTTTTCAATAAGTTAATAAAAAGAACCAAAATTAATTATTTTTAATGTTAGAAAATAAGAAATATTATAAAAAGAAAGAGTTTCATCATACATTTAATAATCAAAGCTCATAGGAAGCGCGTATTTTAGTCAAAAAAAAATATTTTTTTGATAATTAAAAAAAAAATGATGAATCTGAAAAGCTAAACATGATACTGCATTTATTTTTAAAAAATAATATATATTTACCGTGGGCACGTATTTTAGTCAAAAAAAAGAAAAAATAAAAATGTGTTTTTTCAAAAGCCCACTAAGTTATAAAAAATTTATAAACTTAATATTAACATTTTCTAAATCCTTTTAATGAGTTTTATATGAATATGCTTTCATTTTTTTAAAAATAATGTAATTTACCGAGGGCACATAGTTAAGTAAAAAACATGTATTTTTACAAAAGCCCGTTAAATTATAAAAAAATTTTAAATATAATATTAACATTTTTTGATTTTTTTAATATGCTATTTATGATTCTGCATCATTTTTTTATAAAGTAAGGGGCGCATAGAAACGTGTAGTTTCCGAGGGCATGTATTTTTGTCATGCCATTGTCCCAACCCTAATTATTTTATTAAATAAATGTCAAGTGGAAAACTCCAATCAGTTTGCTTAATTATGAGATATATTTTTTATATATTTGGTTAGAGCCCTAGTCATGGCAGAGATATTAAGATGGATGGTGAATCTAAAAAGTATTCTGATTTGTAGGCATAAAGGAGATACTAAGGGAGTTAATGGGAATGGTTTTGGATTAGAGGTTTGTCTAACTGCTTAGATTCTCAGACAAAACTGAGTTGGGCTGAAGTTCATAAATATTATGAGCTCAGAATTGTATTTTTCTTTTATAAAAAATATTAGGGGCTGGAGAACTTTTATAGAATATTTTAGTTAGGAAAAAAATTTATGGGAATACTTGAAAATTCTGATCAAAATTTTCTGTCTGGCCTGTCACAACCACTTGTTTGGATACATGAAAAAGAATGGTCTGCTTGGAAAACTAAGAATCATTAGTAAATAAAAATTGATGAGTAAGGCTGGTAAAAATGGAAACTTAGGTAAATGAAGAAGTGATGTTAAAGACAGAGGTGACAAGAGAAAAATTTGATGGATAGAATTTTTGACAAATTTTATCTGTGGTCAAACAATTTGGATAATGGGGAATACTCCTTATGATATCATTGATAAGAAATATATAATCTTCCTTATTCAAAAACAAATATATTAGTAAATTTTACTCACGTGAGGGTCAAATAAAATTTTGGTTCTGACAATACATAAGGAACTTGGTATATTAAAGGTAAAACTTATAATTCCTCTCAAATTTAACAAGGCTTCTTGGCATTGTTTTAAATTGTCCTATATTAAATTATAATATGTTTATAAAATATATAAAACTTTCAATAATCCATTAAGTGATAATTCAAATGTTTTTGATTTTTGGATTTCATTCTGTAAATAGTTTTTTGGTTGTAGATTTGATAGTCGATAATCATTACTTAAATTAATATATAAGTATATTAATTTGTTTTAAACTTTATTATATCTTTTGCAATAGATCCATTAATTAACTTGAATATTTTATAAGCTAAATCATTTAATGTTTTTTCATTTTTATATCTAGCATTATATTAAATATGTTCAAATATTTATTAACTTGATTTGTAGATGTTTTAATATATTATTGATATTTGTAATGTTCTTCACATAATTAATATATTGCGGCTTAGATGCTATTATAAAAATGATATTTAGAGATTCTGTCACAATATCTTTGTCTTTATCATCAAGTACATATATTAAGAAAGAGAAAAATATATCATCCTTAGCAAAAAAAAAGTTAACCAATATCGATCTAAAGATTTGTACTTTAAGTAAATGTGAAATTCCAAAATCATTTCTGGTAATATTTTTATAATTAATCAATGTTTCTAATATGTCATTTTGAGGTACTTTTGAATTCATTTTTTGAAATTTGCGGCAATGAAAAGTTTTAAGATAAATTTAGAGTGATTGACATTTTGTTAAGTTTTATACAATATAATTGCTTCTAAATATCTAATATTATATATTTTAAAAAAAAATGTTTAAAAAAAAATTTATATTTGTTAACAAAATATATTAATGCTGAAAGATTTTTATTTAATTGTATAATTTTGAGCGATTATTATGAATTAGATAATGAGCATGTTTAATTAATGAACTTGCTACGTTAAAATACTTGCTGCTGAAAGCAACCAATAAGTTTCAGTTAGTTTTTACCGACCTAATCCGGGTGATTAATTATAAAACCCCCTATATTCGGTAAAATCTTTCAGATACTTAGGGTTAAACAGAGCAAAGAAGCTAATAAATTTCTGTTAGTATTTACCGCTACGCTATTCAGGTTAATGCCTGTCATGCTCGTCGCGTCATCGGTGTGGGCTATATAACAATAATAAAGGTTATAAATAATATAGATGAGAGTAAATACTAATCTTTATACATAATAATTGTTGTAATATTCAAATAAGAAAAATGAATAAAAAGGATTTATTATTCAGATTAAATAAAGTTCAAGATTTTAAGTTTGTTGTTTAAACACTATGTAAATGAATAGTATAGAAAAGTATATATAATCGGGAATATTTTACTTGTAAGATGATTCCAATTATTATTTTGCGAACTTAATTTTTAAATATTAATTTATATTAATTTTATTTTTCTTTTATTTTAATTATGTTTTCACTTTATATTTAAGTATTTAATAAAGATTTAGTATCATATTTTAGTTCTAACTTTTCTTTATTTGACAACGGTTCTATTCTCCCAATCTTAAATTCTACTATCTTTGACAATAATATTCATATTTATTTATTAATTAAATATGACCTTTGTCTTGAACATAATATTGGTTCAAATTATTACGTTGTTATAAAAAAGAAATATTCAATATTTTCCAGAAATTTTTCCACCATAATATACATCTCTTTTTTCCATTATTTTATATATATATTTAAAAATATTTACTTTTTTAATTTATATTTTATATATTTTAATAATCAACATAACATTATATATATTTCGAATCATGGAAAAAAAACCCCGGAAAAAACCCCTCGGAAATAAAACTCCCAGGAAAAAAAACCCCCGAAATTTTTTTTTGAATTTACTTAAGATCTAATAATATATGTATATTTTTATTTGGATTTAATAAGTTATAGACAAATTAGTATTTTAGTAAAAAATATTATAAAAATAAAATTTAATAATAAATTTTTTTAGGCCCCAATTCATTATTTAAAGATTACTCATATTTTTTTCCCTGTACCAATTTGAACATCAGCATTTTTTTTGCACTGCGATTTTGTTTTCGGTGTCTAACTACCTACACGCCATCGTTCAAGTTTGGTTTCATTGGCAGCCACCTCGCATTTCATTTTTTTAATCAATACCCAGATTGATGGGTGTTTATTCCGAACCAGATTAGAAAAACTATGATTCCAACCTTCGCATTGATTAAACGTGCGTTCTTCGTCGGATAGAGTGCTTTCATTCACGTTTCAAGTTTCTGGAGGAAATCGAGGCTCAATTCTACTTGTCTGGGATTGAGAATTGCTTCTTGTGACCTCCCTTGATACTCCATTGATGTAATTTATATCGAAATATTCAAGTATCCTTACCATTGCTTAACCCTAAGGAATGCCATTGCATTGCCCATATCACATTAAGGAACAAATGCTAAGCCGTCCATCATGCCACAAAAGAAGCTTAGGGCTTCATCGGTTCTGTATTGGCTTTCCAGACATAGCTTTTGAATTTTTCTATGGGTACTCACAAATGGTAAACGCATCCTCTGATTATGATGTGATCCCCATTGAAAAAATAAATCTAAATAATTTAACATATTAATAATCATACCAATGACAGTTTTAACCGCGCTCATAGCAGACTTATCAAAATCCATGTATATATATAATGGATCAGGAAATAATTCCCGTTCTTGACATTTAGACATTATTACTTCGAATATTTTTTCGTAAGTGTTTTGTGTTTTCTTTTGGAGTTTAATAGCTGTTAATGATTGTGGCATTCGCTTATAAAATTATTTATCAATATTAATTATTGCTAGGTTATATTAAAAAAATTATGGAAAATTGAGAAGAAAAAAATTGAGAAAAGATCAGAAAAATAAAGATTAATAATGACTTAAAACAAAAATGGGAAGAAAAATATAAATTGAGAAAAAAATTTAAGAAAAATTGACAAGAAAATTTTTTTAAAAAATAACGATTTTCTTTTTTTTCAATTTTTTTTCCATGGGCTTTTTTCCGGGGGGTTTTTTCCCTATTACCATATATTTCCTATAAATTGGAAACAAATATAACTTTTAATTAATATTATAAATAGATACGACAAATAAATAACATTTTTCCAAGTCATATAATTTATAAGTAACTTTTCATTAAATCCATTTAATTTTAAATATTATTTGGTATACATTGGACAAAATTTATACTATAATTTTGTAACTAAGTTATGTAATCTCTACCGCATTAATATATATATGCCACACATGCGGCGTCTTTAAATACAATATCTATTAATATAATTAATATTAAAAGAAAAAATATAGCAGAATATATTACCCCACCAGATCTCCATCTTCAAGGAGGCAAGGTGATGAAAATAGAGATCTGGTGTGAAATGAGGAAATCCAAAATTGTGTCAGCAAGAAGAAAGGACTGCACAAGGTAGGGTATATTACTAATGATTCAAAGCATTTACATGACAGGATATTGATTGAATGCAAACTCCCTCAAAAACCTATGCCTAATCCCCTAAAAAATCTTCGCCGCCTTCGAAGGCCAATTTTTAATTACACGTTTTTAATTATAATGGTACTCCTTTTTATATTTTAAAGAGAATAACTTAAATTCTAAATACTCTAATTAATCCATTATTATGTTTGGGGATGAATATGAGTTAACTAATAAGATATCTAACCCTTTAAAATGATATTTAAAAAGATAGCAGGAAATTTTTCAGAAATAAGTTTTTTAAAAATAATGACTATGTATATTATATTGGTCGATATCTAGCAATAATTTTTACTTTTTTATCCCTTATCTTTTTATCGTAAATTCTATTTATATATTTTTCACCTATATTAATTTTATCTTAGAAAAATTAATTATTACCTTTTGATAACATATTATATCAACTAATATTCAAATACCGTGGAAAATTTATTTATTTATATATTTTGTCTAATGAATAAGAATTCCCTAAAGTGTCTGTTTTCTTTGTTAATTTTGAAGCAAAAGTGATAGGTACTGTCCGGTTGAAATAACGATTGGCGAAAATATAAAATTTCCAAGGTTTTGATTGTGATTTTATTATTTAAATTTTTATGAATTCACATATTTTTTTTTCGTGACTAAATCAATATTTTTTAAGAACATTTTACATGTTTGAATCATTTTTAGATAATTTATAAAATAAATATAGATAAAATGTGATATTAATCTTGTTTTTTATACCATAATTTATTAAATGAAAATTTAAAAAGAAAAAAAAATTAAATTATAAATTATTACATCAATATATTGTCCATAAATCATTCAAAAATATAATAGATAACACTCTAAATAATATTCCCCTCCCCCCGCTCATAAAAACGTTGATTTGAACAACAGAAAGCTTACAAGGAATGTAAAATCATCTAAATGGCAGAAAATTTGATGGAGGCAAACCCCTCTACAAAATCTACCCCAATCCCCCCCCCCCCCTTAAAAATACCGTGACCTTCAGCGTATTTGTCAAACCCGATGCTATAGTGATATTAATAAAAAGAAAAATCTTATAATTAGCTATCATTTCTAATCTCACAACAAAAATTTACATCCTTCAAAATCTATTTAGGCTAGAAAACACAATTAATTATTTGTTGGTTATAAATTGTTGTTAACGTTATATAACGCGTTTTTTTCAGTAGCCGTAGCTTTTGCGCGTTACTTTAGAAAATAAAATATCTATATAGGCAGCTCGCTACTAATATAGAAAGTAGCGAATACACATAAAAATTTTAATTCTATAATCATATTCATTTTTATTTAATATAATTTTTTTTTGAAATTTTATATTTAAAAATCTGCATTATAAATCTATTTCAAAATAAATAAATGTCGACGATAGAGATTAATATTGAAGATAATTTTGGTACAGTTCATATCGACAAAGTAATTTCCCTGAATTTTCTTTTCCTGAATTCGCATCTCGATAAAAAATTAACATAGGGTATAAATTTATTGTATACCGGAAGGTTTTATATTCAAACAAGACTAGTAGCATTAACGAGGAATGAAAGTGATATCAAACAAATCTAATATAAATGTGTATAGCCCAATCCTTAATTTTTAAAATAAAATTTGAATCAAGCTGTATCTATAATAGTTTTTGATTAAGGTGAGTTTATTTGAATTCAAACATGTTATGTTTTAACTGGCTATAAGATATTATTCAAAAATTATATTATAAATTAAAATGAATATTAAATTTTCATTTTATCATCCTCAATATTTTATAAGTTATTATATGAATATTAAACGTGTTTAAAATTAACCACTGATCTTTTTATATATTTATAAATTTTATCAAAACATGCTAAAGAAATACTTATTTCAATCCTGATTTTTAACAATTTTAGTGAAATTGATAAAAAGTTAAAGGATCTTGACCTGGTCAGTCAGCAAGCATGACCATTTATGCTACTTATCCCTTATATAATTTTTATTTTAACTATTACTATTATAATTTTAGACACATCAAAAAAGACACCTACTATCAATAATTTTTTTGGAATAAATAATACTAAAAATAATCGAATAAAAATTTTTTTGATGATTTTTCTTATATAAATAATATATATTAAATTTAATATTGCATTGCCCTCAAGTGCTAGGGTTGAACTATTATTTGATTATAGATTATAACATCTGATCGACGCGCTCTAGTTGGGATGACAGTAAGGAAATTTTATTATTTTGGGGATACAATAAAAAATAAATAAATTATATATAATTATTTTAAATTTTAGTCATATTTTTTATTTATAGAAAGAGAGATGCGTAAAATATATTTTAAAAAATTGGAAGAGCTGCTTAGGTTTCTCCATTGGGATTGATTATTGAATGAGGAGAAAATATAATCTAGGAATCGTCAATAACTTTGGATGTTGAAAAAATTTATAGTTTTTTATTTTTTTTAATAGACAGATCTCTTTTTAATTCATCTGTCAGAATAAAACCAACGATAAACATCATAATCGTATCAATTATTGGATTCAAAAAAAAACTCAAGTGATAAACTACCCCTCAAAAAACAATACCTACCCCCCCCCCCCAAAAAAAAATTTAATGCCTACCCCTAAAAAATTAATATCTACCCACAAAAATCAATACCTACCTCCCCCACCCCTAAATGCCAATATATTTTGGAGGTATTTGTCTCCTACCCACTCCGGTCATGTAGTCACAGTGTAAAAGGTTAGCAAATAACAGTGGCGATGGCAAAGAACGGCACATATCTCGAGACGACTGAGAAATTTAACTTGAAAGAGATAAAGATATGTCAAAAAGTGTATATCTTCAGCAAGAGGGGACCAAAAAATTACGATAGTACTTTTAATGCCTTCTAAATATTGAAAATTTAAGGGATTAGTTAGCCCCAATCCCATAATTTCCATGATCAGATTTAGATGTTTAAGGGACGAATGAAAGTCTGAAATACAAAAAAATGGTGAAATGCAATGCGTCAGACATGTTACTTGTTGAAGTGTGTTTGGGTGCAGGGAAAAAGAAGCCTTGACATGATTGATTAATAAAATATGGATGGAAAGCAAAATTTTAGTTAATTGAATGGAGAGCATCATTATATCCATAAACAAAGGTACAGTTGAACCATTAGAATGCTGGAATAAAAGGGTGATAAAGTTGATAAGCCATATTATAAAAATTTTGGAATAAAATCTTTGTCAGGTGACTACGTATTAAGTGTATATATCAGGAAATCAATTTGATTTTGTACAAGGCTGTTCAACCATTGATTTCATTTTTGCCCTTCACACTGATGGAAAAATATTGGTAAATGGGGAATAAGCTAGAGATGTTAATTGACCTGAAATAGACATATGATACTATTAGGAATCTAATGTGGTGCAGAGTTATGCAGGTCCTCATGAAAAAAATATCTAGATATAAATTCTTAATGAAAAGATGGAACTTAGATACAGATACTAGAATCTTATTCAAAATATCAAAAAGATACAAAATCTTGTATTTTTTTCTAAATGAGAGTATATTAAATACAAGATACCTTTATAAATTATCATTACAAATTAAATTAGAATAATTATTATTTATTAGTGAAGAAAAGAATATAACATAAGCATATAATAAAAATGAATATTACAATAATTAATAAAATATTTAATGACGAGTTAATTTTAATAATCATGCCTTTTATTAGTTTTAACTCAATTATGTAAACAGAGAAAGAAGACTAGTATTTTTAATGGGAGTTGAAATATAAATTTGCAAAGGGGTATTTAAAATTGATTAAATCAAGTCATTATTTTTCAATATTTAATTTTTCAAATATATTTTCATTAACCCTTTGCCTCTTCAGCGTATTTAACATTATGCCAAAACTGAATAACCTTTTAACTGGAGCTGATGATGGTATTTATAGTATTATATATTTATTTTTTTTAAATTCTTAATGGAAGAATAATAATTATTTTTCTAATGTATTTCAACAATCTTTGATATAATTAAAACTTACAGCTCAGTGTTATCTGAATTATTGAACTCAGCAACATTTGTTTCGCAGAAAGAAAAATAATCAAGAAGATGTTAAATCTATTGGAGTTATAGTTTGATGAGCTTGATCATATACTACAAGTACTATATTTAGGGCTTCTTTTAATAATGCATTTTGAAATTATTTTTTTTATCATCCAACTCAAACCATAAGTTCTTAAAATATAGATTCGATATTGATACCAAAGAAGCCTCAATATTCATCATCATA